CCGCGCCGGGCGGCTACGGAGGGACAGGAGTGAGGGAAGGGGGGGCAGGGGGAGGGGGGCGGGACAGGTGTAAAAATCTGTACTACTAATAATCACAGAGGCTGTGAGTCCTTTCAGAATAAAAGCCCACAGCGTGGTGGTTTATAATTTTTGGACTTTATAACCTAAAGTAGAAATCAGGACCTAACGTGAATACTACCTCTGAGTACTGTAATACTCAGAGAGTACTCATGCCTGTCATACCCTGGTATTTTAAATGAGTCTGAAACTAGAGCTTGTAAATTGTGAGGCACAAATCCCCCGGGGGGCGCCAGAGCGACTGGGATAAGAGAATGGGGGGAGGGGGGAGGGGGGCGGGACAGGTGTAAAAATCTGTACTACTAATAATCACAGAGGCTGTGAGTCCTTTCAGAATAAAAGCCCACAGCGTGGTGGTTTATAATTTTTGGACTTTATAACCTAAAGTAGAAATGACTGAATGTAAATGTTGTTCTTCCCACTGGAGAGGATTTGACATGTGATAGGTCCGTAGTACGCTGCAGTCCTTGGGGTCAGATGGGGTCAGTTGAGGTCGTCTGTTAGGGACCCCGGCTCTAGAGTTCTAGGGTGAGGTCTCCGTAACCCAGAGTCTGACTGGACGGTTTTAGGCTGAACCAGAACCTCCGTCCTAAATAATCTGTCAGCCTCCAAACCCAGAGAAAATAACTTAATTGGTAGGCTATCATTTTTCCCAGAGCTGCGGAGCTTCTAGAAATGATCGCCGTCTCACCACACGACTCCCTGCATTCTTAATGAAGCTGTGCATCAAACGGAGCTGAGGCTTTTGCTTCTCTGTAGGAACTGTGAAAACTTCATAATCTTGACAACTTAAGTATACGTTCCGTTAGCTCAGCGCTGTAATAGCGTCAACCAGCTAACGGCAGCAACAAAAGTGCGGCCAAGAGGAAGAGAGGAGCGCCAGTTCAACAAGCTGCGACACGGACTGCCTTCTGAGAAGAAAGAAGGGTCGTGAACTGGTGACCCTGACGGAGACCGCAGCAGTGAATTCTGTGGGTGCGCACACACACACACACACACACACACACACACACTCCCCCGTCATCACTGTTTAAAGATGTCAGTAGAAAAACCAAAGATATATCAGCCGGTCTGTCAGTGAACGTTTGTCTTAATGCCCCACCACAGCAGCTGGGGGGGGGGGGGGGGGGGGGGGGGGGCAGTGGTGTAACTACCCTGTGGACTCTATAATACTCCAGACTTTATCAGTACCTTTGTCACTGTTTTCTTGACCACACCAGATCTGTCAGCTCATCAAGTTGTCGCCTGGTCGTTACCATGGAGACGAGGGTTTGAACTTTCCACCAGAATCAACAAAGTGACCAACGTGGTTTCACTCGTATGGTGGGGGGGTCGGGGGTATGTGTGTGAGTGTGAATGAGTGGGAATGAGTGTGAATGAGTGTGTGTGTGAATGTGAGTGTGAATGAGTGGGAATGAGTGTGAATGGAATGAGTGTGAGTGTGAATCTCCTGCTGAGGCTCAGATTAAAACACATCTGAATTTTTTCCAGAATTTTTTATTTTATCTGTTATTTTTTGTAAGAACTAAAAAGTTTCAAATTAAAGCTGTGAACGTGTGTCAACGTGGGGGTCGGGGGTCAGCTGTAGTCACACAGACATACTGTAAGGGGGCGCTACAGTTGTTTGTGTTGACCATGTGACCACGTGAACTCTGAGGAGACTCCAGAGGGAGGTTTTTGGGTCTGTGCGGCCGGGGCTGCTGGGAGAGCGTCCTGTTAGGACACGGAGGACGTGGGCTGCCTGAGGTGGGCTGCCTGAGGTGGGCTGCCTGAGGTGGGCTGTGGTTCCTGCTGCAGCAGCCCAGCTTTTTATAAATAAATAAATCAGTGGAGGAGGTGGTGTTGGTGATCGTGGAGGAAAAGTACTGGACGGTGGTGACGGATGAGGGTCAGAACCGAGCACAGGTCTGTAAGGAACCGATTAAAGTGACGTCCAGGGGCTCCCGCAAAAAATGGTTCCTGTTTCTTTTGTGAATATTTGGAACATGTTGGTGATGTAGGAGAACATCAGGTTCAAAATATAGATCAGAGATCTGAGATCTGACCTGATGATGTCACTGTTGTCCAGTCAATGAACATGAACAACATCAGTTCCTAACACTGGAACAGAAGGATCTACAGACATGTTTCGTAGATTTCCGTTTTATTTTCTCGCGCTTGACTTTCTCCAACCGATGATCGACGTCTCTCGAAGGACCGACGTTGTTCTCCGGGTTCCTCCGGTGCAGCAGACGACCTCCAGAATGTTCCGTCTCTCCTCTGTCTTGTTGTGGTCTCTTTGTTTTGCCCCCCAGCTCTGAAGCTCTGTGGAGTTCCTCGACGTTCCCCGTTGTTCTCCGTATTGTTCTACTTTAAGCGTGCGAGGACGTTAACGAGGTCGGCCTGGACCACCGTGACTTTGAACACAATAGACTTCATTAGACAGACGACTCTGAGTCCTGTGATGATGGACCCCCCCCCC